TGGGCGACGAGTTCAGTGGATATTGGCTTCCAACTTTAATTTGGCTTTGTTGGATTAATTCGGCAAGGACAGAGAAAGCTAATGGGCATTGTGGTCAAAGCATTGATACTTTGGATAGGGCTGGAACAGAGGAAAGGGCTGGGCTGGGGCAGAGACTTACCTAGTTATTACTATCTTGGAGTCTCAGTACTTAACTTTTTGCTTGTGGGTTTTTAAAATTATAATATTTATTGAGTTTTCATATGCTCAGCAACACAAACTACATCGCCACAGTCATAACTCCCAAGTAGTCATTCCCCCATATGTCCCACCTGCTGCAGAGAGCCATAAAACACAAACGTATCCAAAACATGTATTTACATATCATTACGATGAGAAAACCCACCAAGGAAAGCTAGAAAGTCCGTTATTAGAGATTGCAAAATCTAAAGAGGCAAGCAAGAGGTACCCTGCTGAACACTTAAGAGAGAGCAACTTATATCTAAAATAACCAACCTGACTTATATTGGGTTGGGATAGTTCTATTATTGATCCTGTAACCGAGTGAATTCAATAAATGAGTACCTAAGCCCAACAAATAGCTTGCATTTTCTTTGACCTCCTGATCATCTTGTACATAAGCTTCTCAAACAGAGCTACTCTCCAAACCCACTAGTACCAATAATCAAGATGCAAGAATTTGAAGTCCTTCCAAGATTTCCCAGTCGTAGTTTGAGCCGCTAGAAGAAGACGGGAGATCGATTCTCAGTTCATCTGGCTCTTCAAATAAACTCAGTAGCGCAAGTCTGAGAGATGCTATTCGGTTTTGCTTCTCTATTTTAGAAATCTCTCATTCAACACTAACATTTTACTAGTGATAGGTGATTTTTTAAAAAAATTATTTTATCTAAAGATTTGCACACACATCCCTCCAGTGTTTGTATGCACACCATTAAACAGGCTGCTTTCTAAAAGGGAGGACTGATGGGAGCTAGGGGATAATGGCATCTAGAGGGGATACCTTTGCTTTAGAACAGAGCAGCCATCAAAAATCTCTGTACAGCTTTGTTGTCTCTGCCATCACTAATGATGCCTGCCTTCAGACTGGCTTGAATGCCAGGCAGCACCAGGGGGCACGGTGCCTGCTTGGCATTCGGTTTGTGGATTTTAACTGATACTCTGCAGGCAGCACCATGAAAGCCTCTTTACTTCGTGCGCCGAGGAGAGGAGAGGGAAATAGTGGCGTTGGTGTCCAAATTTTTGTGGTCCATTCTCTCTTCATGCCACCGTTGGTGCGTTTTTCATCTGGCACTGGTGGCAAACTGCTGACTCATCGTCCTGTCCTTGGATGACTGCTAAATTCTGGTCTGTTGCATATGAGACAGGGGTGGTGTGAGGGGGAAACCAGGGTGTGATCACGAAGGAGCCAGGTGCAGAGCTGTTGGTTCTGAGCAGTGCGTTCTGAGCTGGGGCTAGGCACTTGCCATTCCAGGAAGGCTGCCTGGTGTTTCTCTGCAGTGTGCAAAAGGATTGCCTTTCGCCAGCTGGGCTCAGCAAGCTGTACTCCCTTGCTAAAAACAATTGCAGTTCCGCACCCAGACAATCCAAATTCTGGAAGCTGTTTTAAGTTATGCCAATCAAGCAATCTGCATTCTGGGTTTTCTAGTGATACATGACTGAATGGAATTCCACACCCACACCCCAGAAATTCAATATGGAGCCTGAGGAGGAGGATAATGTCCACCCCACAAATCATCCACCCCCAGGTCTTAAGGCAGCGCTCCACACAATACCTATCCCCTATCAGCCCAACTTTCATTTAAAAAGAAAGGCAGATAGTGGAATGGAGAGGATGGGTCTGTGTTCTCGGTGCCAACATGTCTGCATTACCTTAAGTGCTAAAGCCAGACAGCTAAAGAGCAAACTCAGATAATTGCAGAGTTGGAAGGACTTTGGAGGCTATGTAGACCAGGAATGGGGAACCTTTGGCCCTCCAGATGTGGCTGTACTACATCTCCCATCCTTCTTGGCCATTGAGCATGCTTGCTTGGCCTGATGGGAGTTGGAGTTCAGCAGCATCCAGAGGGCCATAGGTTCCCCACTCCTGATCCAGATCAACGCTCTGCTTAATGCAGGAAATCCAGGGCCACAGCGCCCCCCAACAAGTGCCAGTTCTGCTGTCCTGCTTTGCGGTGCTGCAAGGCTCGACCAGGTTCAGGCTGGATGCAAGGCAAGGTGGCCCAGGCAGGGCACAGACTGGTTCCAAGCCTGTGCTTTGGGGAATACAAAGCTCTGAAGTTTCTCAAACTGAACCCTTTTATAGCAGCAACACCAGATGTAGCCCAATAGTTACCAGCATCTTTGCTGCAGGATGCTCCTCTACTTAAAGAGGCCCAGCCTTCTCTCACGATCTTCTGCAATGGAGCCTGGGGAGGCTTAGGGCTTCCAGGATCTTCTACAGTGGAGTTACGAGGATGGCGGTGCCACATCTTCAGACTGGGGGTGGGGGTGAAAGCAACTGGCCTCACAGGTTCATTGGGTTGCAGCACTTTTGAGGCTCCCCCTGCATGCCATTCAGGTTCAGAGTCCTCACCTCTGGAACAGGAACTTTACTCCTTCCCTCTTCCCTGTGCACACATCTCATGCCTCCAGGCCATAAACCTGCTGTTGGCCCCTTATGCTCATGGGGGGTGGGTATTAGAATGAAGGCACGGAGTATCTCAGGCTGGCCTCTGTAATACCCTCTTACATGCTCCCCACCCCTAGTGTCAGAGGGATGTATTTTACAGCTCAACAGGTTGCGCCCTGAGCCAGATGGTTGGACTTGCCCAGCAATTCAGCATGGAAGAACAAAGCAACGGCAGTGTTGATCAAGAATGGCTGCCTCTCATGAAAATACTATAGGTCCCTTTGCCAGGGAGTCGGAGGACAGAACACGCCGTGCTTACCAGTTGTCTTCCCACCCCTAAACAGCAGGGCTGCATTTAGAGGAATTAACAAAACCCATAACAGCTCTGGGAGGAAGACAGCACGATTTGAAGGTCTCTAGCTATAATGGCGATTTGCAACATATCATTGCAGCGCGGAGCACTTCCTGTTCAGGATTCAAGGCATTTCATTCTTGCTTTCGCTCCCTCCCCAGTGGAGGCAATAGTAGATGGGGTACTGGTGCAGGATAGGGCCCTCTCCATAGTGGCAGTTAGTCATTATTTCCGCTTTAAGGTGCATTGAGCACCACCGTTACTGGTTTTTCAGCACTGATTAAAGACATACCTCTTTGCTCAGGCTTTTGGAGAGCATTAGGTATTGTAGCCAGTTGCTGTCAAGGTACAGAATACTGTGTCGCTTGTGTAATAAAAAATTACAGGTCTTATATATATAAATGTACCAACCAAGCACCTACATAGATATGTGGACCACATGTCTGGAGCAGCACAGGAAGACCGTCCTGAAACCATTTTGACTCCCAAACTGACCAAATGTTTTCTCTGCAAGGAGGGAGGGGGTGAGGGAACCTTCCCATTGTCTCAGGAATTGGGAAATCGCCATCTCAAAGGAATGGGCAGACCGGGAAAGGCAATCAGATAAGGCATTATCAGATAACCTGACAGACAGGAAAAACAACAGCATTCAAATTTCTGTTGTAGACCACCTTTTCTGTGATGTAGGTATGATGTTTGTGGGGGATGGTCTTGGGTTACAGCCCCTTCTGTGATGTATGTATGATGTATGGAGGGGTGGTCTTGAGCTCCAGGGCAGGGAATTTAAAATGTCTATATAAGGGCAGGCACACCTTTGTTCTGGGTCCTCCCTGTCCTCCTGCGTATGAGGGGAGCACACTGTTGCAACAGCTTTAATAAAGATCAGGCTTACTAGCTGCTTTGCTTCTCAATATTCTCTGGTTGGCCTCTGTTATTTTCTCCTACCAATAGGGAACCCACGTAAGGACTCTATACGGGCTCTTGGATACCCCATAAGGGGAAAAGGGCAGATTTTGTTTACAACAGTTGTTGTATAACTTAATTACTTGAAGAGATGCTGTGTATGTTTTCCAGTGTTTTATTGCACTGTATGTTATCTGGTGCTCACCTGCTTGGTTCCTATCTGTCTGTGAGGAAATAAATACATTAATATTAATGTTTCAATTTGATGTCTGTATTGTAATTATTTTTAAGTGTGCTAAATTTAAGTTTGCATACTTCTGACATGGTTTACAAAACATAAAAATGAGTTGCACAGCATTGTTACAATATAGAATAATTAAAACAACACCACAGTTAAAAGAAACAGCTAAAAACTCAACTGAAATGCTAAAATAAAGGCCAGCAAATTAATTGTGGCATGGAGCGTTAGCATTAAAGAGCAGGGGATCATTCTGTGACTGAGTTAAGTGACTCTTTTGCTCAAATAAACTCCTGTCTTGTTTTTTGGACTCTGGGAAGCTGATGTATGTGTAAGAGGGCGTGTGTGTGTGTGTGTGTGTGTGTGTGTGTGTGTGAGAGAGAGAGAGAGAGAGAGAGAGAAATTACATATTAATTTATTCCCACAGTGAAATCCTATACCTGTCTACTCAGTAGTAATTCCCACTCATTTTAATGCGGCTTACTCCTGGGCACATATAGGATTACAGCCTAAGGCTGAAAGAAGGATTTATGCAAATGTATCCGGTTTGTGTAATATACTGTATATGGGTAATAGAATTCAACTTCTCCCACAGCAAATTCAGGTTTACTTGAAATTTTGTCTTTCAATTGGGGTCCTTCTGCCCTCCCACGACTCTGTGCCATTTTCTTCATTTGGCCTTTGCCAATCTGATGCCCTCCAGGTGTTTTGGAATACAACTCCCATCAGGACGGCTGTACTCATTGCGGCTGAAGGGAGTCATAGTCCAAAATATATAGAGGGCACCAGATGGACAAAAGCTTTTTGTGTGACTGTGGGTGGAAGAAGTTCTGGGGGGCAACACAATGCAGCTGAAGAGGAACTGGCCTTTACCGTCTTGCTTCTCTCTCCCCTTCCAGGGTTCCACGTGATTCCAACCATTTCCAGTATAGTTCCAGAGAGCTGCTTACTGATTGTTGTAGGGCTGCTGGTCGGGGGGCTCATCAAAGCTGTGGGAGAGACCCCTCCCATCCTAGAGTCAGACGTCTTTTTCCTCTTCCTGCTCCCGCCCATCATCTTGGATGCCGGCTACTTCCTCCCCTTACGCCAGTTCACAGAGAACCTGGGCACGATCTTGATCTTCGCCGTGCTGGGGACGTTGTGGAACGCCTTCTTTGTGGGCTCGCTGATGTACGCCGTGTGCCAGATCAACGGCACCGGTTTGCAGGACACCGAACTCCTGGCCTGCCTGCTTTTTGGCAGCATCATCTCGGCAGTGGACCCTGTTGCCGTGCTGGCTGTGTTTGAGGAGATCCACATCAACGAGCTGCTGCACATTTTGGTGTTCGGCGAGTCTTTGTTGAATGACGCGGTGACTGTGGTAAGTGAAATGGACCTTAAGTTGGAACATGTGCCAGCTGCCTCAGGTTTTGGATTTGGGGCTCTGTTTAAGGTGGAAGGATAGGAAGCAGATCTGATCCCCAGGGCACTATCCGTCAAGCGCCACACAAACGGGTTGGCACAAGAATGGGAATCTAGGGTTGCATCCAGAGTAGTTGCTACATGACTTGTTCCATCGACTCAAGGACTTCTAGTTCTGCAGTGGAACTTTCCCTTCTTTTCTCCCCTTGTGCACCCCGTAAATCTGTTCTAGGGTTCTCCCAACCCTCCGGAACAGATTTGGGGATGTGTGTGTAGGATATTCCATTGCACAAGCATAAATACTTGTGCAAAAGGAAGGAGTACTTTGCATACCACCCTTGGCATGTTGGCCAAGGTACACAGTCCACCTTTGTCTCCAAAACTGATCATGTATATGCCGTGGAATTTTGCAGGAAGGGTGTGATGTAGTTGGAGCAACAAATGTACATGCTATCTTTGAATATTAGGTTGGTTTTTACACACACACATTCTCTGTCCTCCATCCAGGCAAGTGAAAGGCATTATCAGAGGAAGCGCACGGTCCAGTTTGCTGAAAATCACTCAAGGAGTTTGCAAAGGGGTGGTGAGGGGTTTGGTCTGGAGAAGCAGGGTATCTGGGGAGGGGTTGTAGCATGGGGGACAGTCCTGAGGGCCAGATAGTGTGGCTTGGAGGGCTACCTCCGACCCTTGGGCTCTACCTCTGCCGTATACTGTAAGGCAAAGTCTCTTAAGAATGACCTGGATGATCAGCCAGGGCATGATTTCCACTTTGCCAGTGAGGAATTGCTGTCAGCAAATGGCTGAGAATGGAGAAGCAGTTGTGCCTTTGCTGTAGCTCTTGTCTCGGTCTGTTTGCAAGATACCCTTATGCCTGTAGAGAAGGGGAAGGGCTGCAGCTCAGTGGGGGAGCATCGGCCTTGCAGGGAGAAGGTCTCAGGTTCAATCCCTAGATTCTCCAGGCAAGATTCCCCCCCCCCAACTCTGAAACCCTGGAGAGACCCTGCTGCCAGAAGAAGAAGAAGAGTTTGGATTTGATATCCCGCTTTATCACTAACCTAAGGAGTCTCAAAGCGGCTAACATTCTCCTTTCCCTTCCTCCCCCACAACAAATACTCTGTGAGGTGAGTGGGGCTGAGAGACTTCAAGAAGTGTGACTAGCCCAAGGTCACCCAGCAGCTGCAGGTGGAGGAGCGGAGACACGAACTCGGTTCACCAGATTACGAGTCTACTGATCTTAACCACTACACCACACTGGCTCTCTTGCCAGTCAGTGTAGACATTAATAAACTAGCTGGAGCAACAGTCTGGCTCTGTATAAGGCAGCTGCCTGTGTTCCAGTGCTAGGGCAGTTGTCTTGCATGCAAAAGTTTCTAGGCTCAATCCCTGACATCTCCAGGTAGGGCAGAAGAGGCTCTCTGGCTGAAGCCCTTGGGTGCCATTGCCAGCCAGTGTAGATGTTACTAAGCTTGAAGGCCCAGTAGTCTGACTTGCTGTAAGGCAATGTCCTAGGTTCCTGTGGCACATTTGATGCTCCCTGCTCTTTGCGGGGATGGGGGTAAGCCTTTGGGGGACATGCAGCTCCCCACATCTCGCCTTATCGCCTGCCAAACGTGTGATCTGGGCAGGGACAGAGGAGAGCCAAGCTGGGACTGAAGTCTATTTGTCTCTCTCCAGCTACAAACATTCAGGCTCGCACACCTGGTGGGATTTGTGCATGCTTAAATTGTCAATGGCCATCGCCTTGCCATGCCTTCCGTTGCTGAGGCAGATGAGGATTTTCACCTCACCCATCAGAAAGCACTTGAAAGGGCAGAGGGAAGGAGGGCGTCGGAAAGCTGCTTTATGACTACCAATGTGGCAAAAGGGCATGGATGGGTGACTCATTTACGTTGAGGCCTCTGCTGCCCAGGATGTGTACTGTTACGTCGTAGTGACTCAAGAGGGTGGTGCTCTTTGCCTTTTCCAGAAGGGGTTTCTCTGGCGTGGTTGTGATTTATTGCAGCTAGTGAACTCCTTTGCCCTTTGACAGTTTGAACCTGTGGCTGTTCTGTTTTGGCAGCAGCTTTTCCAGTTCCAAAAGGCTGCGAAGCTACCCAGGGGTTGCTTCCACTCCCCTTCCTAATGGGTGGGACACAGAGTCCTCCTTGCCTGAGAGGAAGGCATTTCTGCCAGCTCCTTCCCTCACACCCTGTGCTATTTAGTAGAGACCTTGAGAGCGGCCTTCCAGAAGAGTGCCGTAGAAGGCAGTGGGACGGTGGAGGCAGGAAAGTCTTGTCTTGCTTTGCATTGTTATAAATCAAGTTGAATGTGCAGTGCTTAGGCGTACTGTAACTCACAGTCTCGTACCAAGCTTTACATAGGAATTCAAAGAAGTCAGAAAATCGGTACAGTTTTTAAATCAGTGATTAAAACCAGTGCAGTTTTGTTCAGCTAACCATCTTGATTCAAAATGGCCTCCTTGATCTCTGGAACTGTCATGAAAAGTTTGGTTATGATATCTTAAGAGCAGGGCTTCTTTTCCCAGCCGGAGCTCAACTCTGGCACCTCTCAGGTGGGGCACCATTGCCATTCTAAGAGAACAAGGGAGAAGTTCACAGTGAGCTCCGGGGCCTCTTTTCCCTAGAAAAATAGCATTGCTTTAGAGGTGAACAGTGATCAGACAAACCATTTCCCAAAATATATAGTAGACTAGCAGAAAGTACCTGGTGTTGCTCAGGAATTCTAAGAAACAACAGAGTTATGAGATCTCTAAATGGAAAATGTAATTTGTTAGTTTCTAAAGCTGTGCATGTCACGCGCATATGCAAACCAGAAACACTCAATCCAAATTCAACCTCAAATCAATTCTAGGGTGGGGCTAATGTTCAAGTTGGGGGGGGGGATTGGGGGAAGGAGATGCTGTATCTCCTCCCCTGCTCTCATTTGCACCAAAGGGAATAGGAGGGTTCAGTCCTACTGCTTCATTTCTCATGTGTTCCCTGCTACTTAATATATTTCTGTTTCACAAGATTTATGGACTGCTTGATTGTAATTAAACCTCAAAACAGTTTGCAAAAAGAATCAGGGTGGATCAAAATCAATGATTTTTTTATTTTAAAAAATGGATTATTTTTTTAAAAATCGGATTTTTTGATTTAAAACAGATTTTTTTAAAAATTTAAATCAGATTTTTAAAATAAAATGCTTTTTGGTGGGAAAATATTTCTAAAGAGTTTTCTATTTAAGTTACATTATAGTCCAAAGGCTATTCATCAGGAAATAAGGATTTGTTTTAAGTTTTTCATGTGTGTGTTTTTTAAAAATCGTTTAACCACATCAGTTAACAAACATGGATACATAAGCTGTAATGTTATTGTTTTAGTTAAATAAATTGTTTAAATTGTTATTAAGGAAATTATTATTTTTCTCCTTCCAATAAAGTACAGCAGAAAAGTTGTCCAAATATAGACAATAATTTCATAATTACCTGTCTTTGTATTACTAATAGTATAACCCAATCAGTAATTTTTGATATAACTGTAAAAACTACTCTGAAAATTTATTATTCCAAAAATGAAACTGTCGTCTGGTTGTAAATATTAAGATTATACCAGCAAGAATGAGTCTTTCTGACTAGTGATTTAAATTGTGATTTAAATCTTGATTTAAATTGATTTGATTTAAATCAAAGCCACCCTGAAAAGAATCAAATCATAAGATTATCAGGGTTTTTTTTTAAAAAAAGTTAAAAGCAACTTTTCCAAAGCTTTCAAAAAATAATTAGCATCAACAATAAGCTAAAAACCCAATTTAAAACACGCGCCAGCGTTCTACTCTCTGTACAGGCTTGCCTAAACAAAAACGTTTTAGCTGGCGCCAAAAAGGGTATAGTGAAGGCGCCTGCCTGCCTAATGTCAATATATGCCCAGTAGTGTAAACAGATCTCCGCTTGCAGTGTTCTCAGTCCTGTTCACTATTATTGTCCTCTGGGGTTTTTAATTTTTTGCTACTAGTAGTACACACAGTAATTCATAAGGCTTAGATCATTGAATCCTCACTTGGCCTGAGGCAGACTGAATGCTGACAGACTGTGGTTTGCAAACAGAGCCAACCTTGTGCATGTGAGCTGTGTCCTTTCTCTGGAGCGCTGCCCTGGTAGCCTCTCGCCTTGCCTCAGATGGTGAGGCATCCCTAAGATGGTCCTTGAAGGTCTTACAACCCATAGAGACAGATGGTCCTTCAGGAATCCCGATCCTAAGCCATAAAGGGCTTTAAAGGTCAACACCAGCACTTTGAATGCCTCACTTCATGGGATACGGTGCACCATTCTGCTCATCTCACCTTAAAAAAAGGATGTCGTAGAGTTGGGAAAGGTTCAGGAAAGGGTAACCGAAATGATAAAGGGGAAAGGTTGCAGTGTTTGGGACTTTTTAGTTTGGAGAAAAGGCAGGGAAAGAAGTGAAATGATAGAAGTTCATGAATTTGTGCATGGCATGGAGAAAGTGGATAGAGGAAGGTTTGTGGTGTAGTGGTTAAGAGCGGTAGGACTTGTAATCTGGGGAACCAGGTTCGCGTCTCCACTCCTCCACATGCTGCTGGGTGATCTTGGGCTAGTCACACTTCTCTGAAGTCTCTCAGCCCCACTCACCTCACAGAGTGTTTGTTGTGGGGGAAGGAAGGGAAAGGAGAATGTTAGCCACTTTGAGACTCCTTCGGGCAGTGATAAAGCGGGATATCAAATCCAAACTCCTCCTCCCCTCCCCTCCCCTCCCCCCCTCCTCCTCCTCCTCCTTCCTCTTCTTCTTATTTCTCCATTGTCTGTAACACTAGAGTTTGTGATCTTGTTTTCCCCTTTGCACATGCCTTTCCAGAACACAGGGCATGGCGAGAAAGAGGATGCAATGTTCCAAACTGGAGAGATCTCTCCAAGACATTGGACGCTGAGCGACCTTTGGACCATTGCTTTAATGGGCCAAGGCAGGGAGTGCCATGCTACGAGCCCTTGCCCTTTTTGTTTGCTTCTCCTAGGAACATAGGAAGCTGCCTTATACATTGACTGGCACCGGCTCTCCGGGGACCCACACGCCCCTCCACCCCATCTCCTTTGGTTGAGTTCACTGGTGAACTTGGTTCTGAATCTGACCTAAGAAGGGTGGGATTTCCCTTCCATCCTGGTAGGGCAAAGCTCATTTGCCCAGGGGAGCTGAATCTATAAATTGGCTCTAATAAGCCTCCCCCCAGACTGGTTTTTTTTTAATGCTATCCCTGAATAAGCAGTAGAATCTTGGGAAGGGAGAAGCTATAAAAAACACCATATGTAATGGAAATTGAGAGCAAGAGGAGCAATGTTAAAGCAGCAGGAGAGTTTTAGCCAAGTTTATACAGCAGGAATGTGGAACCTGCGCCCTTCCAGATGTTGTAGGACTGACTCCAACTCCCATCAGCCCCAGCTGCCGTTGCCAGTGGTTAGGGATGCTGGGGGATGGAGTCCACAAATTTCTGAAGTGCCACAGATATCCCATCCGTTTTACACAAGCCAATCCGCACATCACAGTAAACCATAGTTTACTGTGTGTTTACTATTGTGAACTCAATGAACTTGGCTTTTTTGTTCCTCCCTGCTGACACTGGGGAGAAACAAACCACAGTTCCTAGCTTTGCCCTGCATCCAAGCCAGGGAACCTGGATTGTTTTGCTCTCAACAACCCCTGATCAGTGAGCCAAAAACAAAGATTGTCTACAGATTGTGTCTTTTGGGGGAACAAATCGAACCATGGCTCCTGGTTCAGATGTAATGCTAAAGTAGGACTCATGGTTTAGTTTCCTCCTAATGTATGTTGGGGGGGAATGGAGGGGAACAAGATGGGAGCAGTTTGCTTGTACACAGTAAACCATGGTTTATAGTTTGCCACATGTGCAAATGAGGTCTTTTAGACCTATGTTGTGGCTCATGCTCATCTTGGACGTGTCAACAAAGGAAAGTGGTGTTGTTTTTCTAATGATGGTCTTTCGTAACTATTCTAGAGCTCTGTAACAGTAAGGGAGGCTGAAGAAGGACAGAGTTAATAGGCAGTTTTTCAAAAAGGCTCTGTGCTGGTCAAAGTTGAAATTCCAAGAAAATTGTACAGTGGAGTTTTGGTATTTTGACACTGATGGACCAGGCTTTGGATTTCACTTCCCACTTCGAAAAAGCATTTGACAATGGAGACTGTACTGAATGTGCTTCATCAAGGAATAAATAGCTAAATATTAAAACAGGAGCTAAAAATTGAAATGTCAAAAAGTTAGGATAGCACTCTTGCTCCTGGCCAATTGTTTTTAGAGAGAGAGAGAACACTAGATTGGTGCAGACTAGTATGTGTTTAGATATATTTATTGTTTTCATCAGCATCCATCAGTATTATTGCTACTGCTGACTCTTAAGTGAGAAATAAATATTCAGATTTTTTTGAATGAATCATTTACAAGTCAAAACAGCCCCTCTTAGAAATTAAGTATCATCATTCCCTTCAAAGTGTTTTTTTTTTAAATAAATTTTTATTGATTTTCCATAAGTAAAAAAGAAAACGAAACAAAAACATAGATAAACACAAAACCGACTTCCCCGTACCACCCCTTTTCTGCATTCTTGTTTCAAGATTTTTCAGCAACCCTTTCGTATTAAACTTATTTCTATTTCGTAAATTTAACTTCCATAAGATAATAAAACAACTGTAGTTCTTTATCTCTTATTACCCTGATCCTTTAATTTTCCAAATTACAACAGTTTTTAAGATAAACTTTAAATTTGTTCCAGTCTTCATCCACCGCCTCTTTCCCCCGGTCTCGGATTCTGCCAGTCATCTCTGCCAGTCCCATATAATCAATCACCTTCGTCTGCCATTCTTCCAACGTGGGTAGATATTGTGTCTTCCAATACTTTGCTAGAAGGATTCTTGCTGCTGTTGTAGCATACATAAAAAATGTCCTATCCTTCTTTGGCACCATTTGGCCCACCATACCCAAGAGAAAGGCTTCTGGCTTTTTATTAAATGTTCTCTTCAGAACTTTTTTAATTTCATTATAGATCATTTCCCAGAAGGCCTTGATCTTCGGGCAGGTCCACCAAAGGTGATAGAAGGTTCCCTCCGTTTCATTACACTTCCAACACTTGTTATTGGGCAAATGATAAATCTTTGCTAACTTAGCCGGAGTCATGTACCACCTGTAGATCATTTTCATAATGTTTTCTCTTAAGGCATTGCATGCCGTAAATTTAACACCAGTGGTCCATAACTGCTCCCAGTCAGCAAGCTCAATGTCATGCCCTATATCCTGTGCCCATTTAATCATACTAGATTTCACCATTTCATCTTGAGTATTCCATTTCAACAGCAAGTTGTACATTCTTGACAAGATTTTAGTATTGGGTTCTAACAGTTCTGTTTCTAGTTTGGACTTCTCCACTTGGAAGCCTTTCTTTCTGTCCTGTTTGAATACTTCATTTAACTGTCGATAATGTAGCCAATCTCTCACCTTAAACTTCAGTTTCTCGAAACTCTGCAATTTTACTTTTTCACCATCTTGTTCTATCATTTCAAAATATTTAGGCCAATTAGAACCCATATTCAATTTTTTCACCTCTTTTGCCTCCATTGGTGACAGCCACCTAGGGGTTCTGCTTTCAAACAAATCTTTATACCTTATCCAGACATTATACAGAGCTTTCCTCACCATATGGTTCTTAAAACCTTTGTGCACTTTTACCTTGTCATACCATATATATGCATGCCAACCAAATCTGTTATCAAACCCTTCAAGATCCAAAATGTCTGTATTCTCGAGGAGCAGCCAGTCTTTCAACCAGCAAAACGCTGCTGATTCATAGTAAAGTCTTAAGTCCGGCAGGGCAAAACCTCCTCTATCTTTTGCGTCTGTTAATGTCTTAAATTTTATTCTTGGCTTTTTGCCCTGCCAAACAAATTTCGATATGTCTTTCTGCCACCTCTTGAAACAGTCCATCTTGTCTATTATTTGTAATGTCTGAAACAGGAATAACATTCTAGGCAATACATTCATTTTGATAACAGCAATTCTGCCTAACAAGGAAAGTTTCAGCCTTGACCATATGTCTAAATCTTTCTTAACTTCTGTCCAACATTTATCATAATTGTCCTTAAATAAGTTCACATTTTTCGCTGTCAAGTTCACCCCCAAGTACTTCACTTTTTTTGCTATCTCCAAACCTGTTTCATTCTGAAATGTCTCTTTTTCCTCATTTGTTAGGTTTTTCTCCAGCACTTTAGTTTTTTGTTTATTCAGTTTAAATCCTGCAACTTGACCAAATATCTCAATCAGTTCTAAAACTCTTTTTGTACTAGTGTTTGGCTGCTGTAGAGTCAAAACTAGGTCATCTGCAAATGCCCTCAGTTTATACTCTTTCACTCCGACCTGAATTCCTTTGACCAACTGGTCCTTTCTAATCATATTTAACAAAACCTCCAGGACCAGTATGAAAAGTAGAGGGGAGATAGGGCATCCCTGTCGTGTTCCTTTCTCTATAGCTATCTCTTCCGTTACCACATTATTCACAATTAGCTTTGCCTTCTGCTCAGAGTATATTGCACCTATACCATTTTCAAAACCTTGGCCTACCCCCATCCCTTGGAGATTCTTTTTCATAAAACTCCAGCAAATATTGTCAAAGGCTTTCTCCGCGTCCACAAAGTTCCCTTCAAAGTGTTGGTCATTCCCTTCAAAGTGTTGGTCATTCCCTTCAAAGTGTTGGTCATTAAGCCAAGAACGAGCCTGCACACTTCCCATCTTTTCAATTTCTGTTGCAGACTGGTTTTGACACTTGAATCCTATTCTCATTAAGCCACAGTTCCCTGTTACGTCTGAAACAAGGAACTGTGGTTTAATGTCAGTTTGCCCATGATCTGAGTCAAGCTGAAGATCCTGAATAGTAAACGGACATAACAAAGGATAAGGATCAGAGCCCTGAAACCAACACATGGGAGCCCAATATTCATCACTCAGTTCCTGAACAATGGTTTAGGAAACCAGGCTCATTGCATGCAAAAAAATGTTTTAAAAAGCCCTAAGGGTGACACTGAAGGTGTAGGGCAGTGGTGAGGAATTTGTGGTCCTCCAGATGTTCTCAACTCGTAACTCTCATTACACCTGGCTGTTGAGTGTGTTTGCTGGGTCCTGTGGGAATTCTTCATCATCTGGGGAGCCAAAGGTTCCCCATTCCTGGTACAGAGGTCAGAAAGAGAGAAAGGAACACAGATTCCTACTAACTGCATATTAACCAACTCACTGGTGAAAGCAGAGCAAAATGGCAGCTCTTTTCCAACTAGAGGAGGGCTGCTTAGTTGTCTGCATTAGCATTGATAACTCTTAAGGCAGCAATTAGGAACGAGGTTTGTATCCAGCAGGATGAGCTCTTGTCTATTTTTAATGCTCCCTTTTGATCCATTTCTCGAAACCTCCCCACTTGCCTTGTGGGATACTAATTTCTCGTCTCTCTCATGTTGGCACACCCGTGGCCAACCTCTGATCAGTGCTCCCGTGAGCTTACATTGCTGATCCCTCCCTCCCTCCCACTTTTGTCGTTCCAGGTTCTCTACCACCTTTTTGAAGAGTTTGCTACGTTCGACAAAGTCACCTTTACCAATATCATCCTGGGTTTCCTCAGCTTCTTTGTGGTGTCTCTGGGGGGCGTCTTTGTCGGGGTTGTCTATGGCATCATCGGAGCCTTCACCTCCCGCTTCACTTCCCATATCCGTGTCATCGAGCCCCTCTTCGTCTTTCTTTACAGCTACATGGCGTACCTGTCTGCAGAACTGTTCCATCTCTCGGGCATCATGGCGTAAGTATGGCGGTGGGTGGGGACTTGGATGCCACATTTGAGTTGGAATGTAGGAAGCGGCCTTAGATGGAGGCAGACCTTTGGGGTGGGAGTGGTTGGCTTTGAACCTGGGACCTTTGGTGTGTGGAGGCTCAGGGCTTTCAAAAGGGGTGTATCCCTTGTGACCTAACCTGAATGTGTTTGTTAATTTCAGGCTAACAATCTATACAATCCTTATATGCAGGCCTTTGGTGCATAATAACGATGTGGCGGGCAGAAACCAAAATTCAACCAAGTTGTAAAACCCAGAACGAAACAGCAGCCGCTAGCTCAAAAACAAACCTTGTGCTAAATGTTACATGTGAATGCAGCCACTAGGATAGCATGCATCTGCATGTGAAGACCTACATATAAGTCACTGTGGATCGGGAATTCTAAAACAAAATTCTCAAGTTCGTTAGCAGAGCTGGACAAAGACCTGCAACCATAGGCGCCAGCTCTAAGGGGCCTAGACCTCTTCGGGCCTCCCCAAATGGACCATGCTGAGCCACCCCAGCCTCCTTTTCTGCTGTGTGAGAGCACAGATAAGCTGCCCAATCTTTCATCTCTCCCAGGGCACCCTCCCTCTTCCCCTCCCCTCCCCTCCAGCACCCTTGTCCTGGACCCAGTGCCCCGCAAGCCCCCCGCCACCTGTTGGCATCTGGGTGGGGATAGGAAGGGGAAGTGTTCAGGCTGGGCCTACCATTATGCCCCAGCAAGCCCCCCAGTGTACAAGTTCTCCTGGCAACATTTCAGCAGTGGGTGGGGGCCCCATATTTTATTCAACTTGGTGCAAGTTTACTTGCTATTGTTTTATTGTTGGGGGTGAGAAACCCTTGCAGGTCTGCTTCAAATTACCCAGCTCTCCACCTGATCTCCCTTTTGCATGTGCACACACACCCCAGTGTACAAGTCTTTTTCTACAAAGGCATTGTCTCCATGTATGAAGCCTGCACTGTATGAAACCTCTCCCAATTGGTCCAGCAAAATACATGGTCTCTTCCTGTTTTGTAACCCTGTTTTCTTAGAGGCTGACATAGCAACAGCTCCCCACCAAGCTCAACAAGTGAGTCATCGTTGGGCTGGATTGCATCAGCCAGAAAAGGAACAGTGGCCCCCACTTGGATAGTTTGAAACCAGCAGGCAAAGGAGAAGCAATAGAGATAGCTCAGTTGGTAGAGCACGAGGCTCTTAATTTCAGGATTGTGGGTTCGAGCCCCATGTTGGGCAAAAGATTCCTGCATGTCTGAAGTTGGAGTAGTGTCTCTTCCAACTCCATGATTATGTGAATCCAATCTGGGCATAAGGCCATGGGAGCACTGCAGAGGAAGTTAGCCCCCCCAACCCCCATTTTCAGCTGTCAAGACTTGAATACATGGCCCTGTTGCTTTACTGCAGCCTTCCCCAACCTTCTGCCCTCCCTCTTAACACCCTTATAACAAACCACTCCCCTTCATTCTTTGGGGGAAGCCATAACTTTTTACTACTGGCGTGATGCTGCTTGAAATGCCACTGGAGCCCAAGTGATGTATTGGTGTCCATGAGCCTGCCCACAGACATTCCTGTTTCTTTGGGAAGGGAATGAAGTCTGACTGTTGCTCCACTCAGCTCACACTGACTGGCAGCAGCTTTCAAGGTTTTCAAATGAGAGATGCCAGGGATTGAACCTTTGCATGCAAAGCAGATTCTGTACCCACTGAGATACACTCATTTCACTATAAGCTGGAAGGAGCTGTCTTTACGCTGGGATCTAGCCCCCTAAGTGTCTTTTCTGACACTTATGTAAAGGTCTCTCCTGCCCCTAAGCTTTTTAACTGGGTATGTCACAGATGGAATCTGGGACTTCCGTGCAGACAAAACATGTGATCTACTACAGGGTTTTGGCCCATTCCTTAATCTCTTAGGCCCAGCTGAAATTGGCTGTTGTGGACTGTATAGAGTCTGCAAAGGCAACAAGGCCTCCCTGAATCTTGAGAAGAAATGAACGAATCCTGCCTGCTCTGTGGCTTTCCATAGCATACTTCTTCCTCCCTTGCAGGCTCATTGCTGCCGGAGTGGTCATGCGCCCTTACGTGGAAGCCAACATCTCCCATAAGTCCCACACCACCATCAAGTACTTCCTGAAGATGTGGAGCAGCGTCAGCGAAACCCTCATCTTCATTTTCCTCGGTGTGTCCACTGTGGCCGGGAAGCATCACTGGAACTGGACCTTCGTCATCTGCACCCTGCTTTTCTGCTTGATCGCTAGGGTTTTAGGTGAGGCTGTGGGAGGGAAAGTTGCAAGAGTGGTGGGAGATGTGGGGGTGGCCTCTGCCCACAGCTTGTGCTGCTGAAGGCAGGCCTCAAATCTCAGGTGCGTAAGGCCTGAAAAGGGCCAGAGCAGCAGGCTTAACAGGAAAAGGATCCCCTCAAACAAGCCCAAGGCATCTGAATGCTTTCCATGTGTCGAGAGCTTCATGTATTCCACGTTTGCACATTATGGCTGCATTTTGGACATCATGAGAAACCACCATTTATCAAGATGGGAACGAGCCTAATCTTCCCCAAATCCTCACATTCTCCACCTTTTGATTTCAGTCGGCTGCAGCTTAGCATTAGCACTTGAACCCTGAACTTGTGCTTTTTTGAAGTTGGCTTGTTTCAAGAAAACCATAGTTAAGATTAACAACGGTTTGTAAGGTTCAGAAGACATCACAGAAAACGTGGTTCATAGTGATGTCCAGGTGTAGTGGCTGAGCCTCTCTCTTTCTTTCTGCTTTTAAAGACTGCATTTCAAACCTCCTTGGAGCCACATCTGTGTGTGTTTGGTGACTTCCTCATTCAAATTTGGTAGCGTGCACCGCATAGGACTAGTGTCAAATACCACCCAAATTATACAAATTTGACATAATTTCTAGCTACGTGGCAGAATTCTTTGCCTTCCCATCTGTGGTGACAATATACGGACCCTGAACTTTAGTTTTCACTTAACTGTTACCATTCCTTTTTATCATTTCCTCAGGTGTCCTGGGGCTGACATGGTTCATTAACAAATTCCGCATTGTGAAGTTGACTCCAAAGGATCAGTTCATCATTGCCTACGGTGGCCTACGAGGTGCCATTGCCTTCTCCTTGGGTTACCTCCTCAAATACGATCACTTCCCAATGAGAGACATGTTCCTCACCGCCATCATTACGGTCATCTTCTTCACAGTGTTCGTGCAGGTAGGCCTGCAGAAGCCCCTCTGTTTCCCAGGCCTGGGGGCATCATGGCAGCAATGAGGTCATGCAACAAAAGGAGGTGGTAGACCAGACTGTATTTAAGGAGAGTGATACCATTTTTAATGGTCCTCCAATAAAGGGGGCGGGAACTAGTGGGGTATTGGGAGTAAAGTGGAGTAAAGGCTAAATTAATCCAACCAAACACAGTCTAGAGTCCGTATTTAAGGCGTGCTGAATTCAACCAGGCTTATGTCTCCACAGGGAATGACCATCCGCCCTTTGGTAGATCTCTTGGCTGTGAAAAAAAAGCAAGAGACTAAGAGGTCCATCAATGAGGAAATTCACACTCAGGTAATAGTTCTGTTTTACTTTGTGCTGAGTGATCTCTCTCTCTCTCTCTCTCTCTCTCTCTCTCTCTCTCTGTGTGTGTGTGTGTGTGTGTGTGTGTGAGAGAGAGAGAGAGAGAGAGAGAAATCCTCTGTTGAGCTGCCTTAATACTAGAGTTTGCATTGAAAAGCAAACTGGCCTAATTCACGTGTCACAGACTTTGACATGGAAATTGGAACAGAGCTATCAACCACATTATATGCTTCTCTACATTTTGTCATGCTGTTAACACACACAAAAAGCATATTTGATGGGAGGAAAGGACCCCCCCAATGCTTATTTTAGAGGAAGAATGTGTACAAAATGTATACAATTTAAATGTGATGGTATGTGTGGGTTTTTTGTGTTTTGTTTGCAAAAAGTGGGATGAAATAACACGAATCGGTAATAGGCTGATTGTCTAGCCATACTTACTACTCTTCTAGTTCATATCGGGTTCCAAGTTACACTTCACAAAGTACAAAATAACATGTAACTTTAAAAAAAAAAACACACAAAAAGATTTATTGGAAGCTGAAATATGTCACCTAAAATCATCCAGTATTCCTTGTCTCAAAGATTTCCCATAGCTTAATTCAACAAAGCACTGGTTGGTATAGCTTGCTGATGCCACCTAGCAGCTGATCAAGGCACTGCATGTAACCCGTGTCCTCAAATTCAGTTATTTCCTGCTAGTGGGTCAGAACCACGTGGGTCACACCTAAGATGGATCTCACCAGTGACGGGGGGAAAGGTGGCAGTACCAATTCTAAACCACTCACACCCCAAAATAGCAAAATTTGCCAGATCCCGAGGAAAAGCTATCGTTTATTTGCAGAAGCATTCCAGTGGTCTAGTTGTGCCTGGTGGGTTTTGAGTATGGCAGTTTCTTGTCAAAAATGGTTTGCCTCTTGTTTCTGGAATAGTTCCCTTGACTCCAGGGAAAAGGATCTGCACATATGTACCAGAGTTATGAAATAGCAATTCCGGGCCAGATTTTTTACTACCTGAGGTAAAATAGCAACTGGTGCCACACGCCAAGCACCAAGGCCTGTCAAGTTATTCAGCACCTGAATATGAAAATCCAGCAAGCATCTCTCCTCTCCCTGGTAGCAAAAGTGCAAAATAACAAACCTTTGCTGCCCTTTGAAAATCAGCTTCCCAAGTAGACTGCCTCACTCTGTCTAATGGTAGGATCAGCCCATCTGATAAAGTTGTCATACTCAAAACCCGTTAGATATACCAACAGAAAGTGGGAGGGCTTTTGCAGATAAACTGTCACTTTTCCACACTAGTAGCTTTAAAAAAAAGTTGTAGAAAAAGAATGTGGTGGCGGCGGGTTGGTGGGGTGAGAATATGTCTGCATAACAATTTTTAAAATACTAGATCTTTATTACGTTTACAGTCATAGCTCCCTTCTCTCCCACACCCGAAATTCTGGAAACTCTAACTGTAATTTGCGTTCAAGAATTTTGACAGGCCTCTAACTACCACCCTGCACATATAACCCCTATTGACATCAGGCAAGCACCTTCGCTGTTCTCTTTTTGGACCCTGCTAAAAGCATTTTTGTTTAGACGAGTCTACTCAGATACGTGGAATGTCAATGTCTGCTTTAATGTGTTTTTAGTTTATTGTTGGTTTTATTTTGTTAATTCTTTAAATTGTTGTTTTTAACTGTTTTTACTGACAGTGTTATTGTTTTGTACTCTTGGTAAAAAAATTAAAGAAGCTCAAAGCAGTTTCCAATCAAGCAGCACATACATTTTATGAAACAATATGAAATAAATAAATACAACCCCAAGATCCTTTGGGGGAAGGGCCAACAGTTAAACCAGTGTGTCCGAAGCGTAAATACTAGAAATGCCCCAAGAGAAGAAAGAGAGGAATATGTACCTCAGGTTACATACGCTTCAGGTTACATACGCTTCAGGTTACAGACTCCACTAACCCAGAAATAGTACCTTAGGTTAAGAACTTTGCTTCAGGATGAGAACAGAAATTGTGCTCTGGCGGCGCAGCGGCAGCAGGAGGCCCCATTAGCTAATGTGGTGCTTCACGTTAAGAACAGTTTCTTGTTAAGAATGGACCTCCGGAACGAATTAAGTACTTAACCCGAGGTACCACTGTATGTTAAATATGGAACCTAGTTTTGATTTGTTTTAGGTTGGGATTAATGAGTCCCAGCCTGAAAAGGCTGAGGGATGATACTCTAATGCAGGCATAGGCAAACTTGGCCCTCCAGGTGTTTTGGGACTACAACTGCCATTATCCCTAGCTGACAGGCCCAGGGATGATGGGAGTTGTAGTCCCAAAACATCTGGAGGGTCGAGTTTGCCTATGCCTGCTCTAATGGCATGCTGTGTAGCATTGGCTTTCTCTCTCTCTCTCTCTCTCTCTCTCTCTCTCTCACACACACACACACACACCCACACACACCCCAGTTCAGTTGCCAAAGAACATTCCTGCACAGTCAGTAAGCTGTATTTTAGCCTTGCTGCAATTACCTTTTCAATAGTTCTAGTGCAATATCCGGCCTTTTTTATACAGATGGGAAGTTCGCATCCACCCCACCTTTTTAACTAGTTAAATGTGTGCTGCAGCACAGGAAAGGAAGCACATACATCTTTCCAGTGTTTGTTTATCTTCACCAGCCGGTGAAAGAGAAATCCTATGTTAGAGCTGCACTGGAATGGGGTGAGAGCGGACCATGGTATGCTCTCCTCCAAAACGTTTAATGAGCTGCATCCCTCGTCGCTGCCCGTGTTATGCTAAAACAATACCCATGAGGCGTCTGAGCTCTGTGTGTGCTGTCACCACAACCACATTTGTCCTAGGTGCAAAATACTGCAGATGAAAGGGATGGAGTGCGGAGGGGGGTTGGCAAGGAGAGATCACTTCATCACCAGGTTGTGCTTCTGTTGCAGAGATCAGGTGTGCCCTGTAGATGAGGCAAAATCCATACTTTTTGTTTTCCTCTCTCCTTCAAATAGTTCCTGGATCATCTTTTGACAGGGATTGAGGACATTTGTGGCCACTATGGCCATCACCACTGGAAGGACAAGTAAGTGCTACTGAGCCAGGGGAGAAAATAATAAGTTGCTTACAATTATTATTGTCTACTATTGTAACTGGATTTTTGTAATAATCACATTTGGGAATTCTTTTGTTTAGGTTTTCTAAGATGCCTCGTTAACATGGGAGGGGGGGAGAGGGTTAATCTCAAGGACTCTGGGCAAGTTACATGGTGCTATTTTTTACGAACTAAACCCCAGGCTTGCTAACCTGTGCTGCACACCCCATATCGTTTGACTTGAACACCCATCGCCCCCAATCAACATGGCCAGTTGCCAGGAAATGATAGGAGCTGCTGCCCAAAATCATCAGGGTGGGCAATGCTTATTGTAGCTTTACACTGTTGTTGTTTTTCTCATCCCCTTGCAAAGGCTGAATCGCTTCAACAAGAAATACGTGAAGAAGTGCTTAATTGCTGGGGAGAGGTCGAAGGAGCCCCAGCTGATTGCCTTCTATCACAAGATGGAGATGAAGCAAGCCATTGAGCTGGTGGAGAGCGGAGGAATGGGCAAGATCCCCTCTGCCGTCTCCACTGTCTCCATGCAGTAAGTATCATGGGGAGCAAGGGAGGTGGGGCTGTTTTATTCATTAAAGGGGGAAAGGCTTACTCTGATTGGAGGAAACACAGTGCTTTGAGTGTTCAAACCACTTAACATATACAGTCGTACCTCAGAAGTCAAATGGAATCTGTTCCGGAAGTCTGTTCGACAACCCAAATGTTCGAAAACCAAGGTGAGGCTTCTGATTGGCTGCAGGAAGCTCCTGCAGCCAATCGGAAGCCACGGAAGCTGCATCGGATGTTCGGGTTCCAAAGAATGTTTGCAAACGGGAACACTCACTTCCGGGTTTGCGGCGTTCAGGAGCCAAAACATTAAACTCGCAAGGCATTCAACTTCCGAGGTACTGTACTACCTTGTTATAATTCTTTAAAAGAAACCGCTGTAAAAAAACCTGGTATTACTGGCCTATGCACTCATTCTGTTAGCATAAGGATTTCTGCTTGCACAACAAAACTTTCCCCACCTTCTCATAGGAACCTGCCTTATACTGAGTCAGACCATTGGTCCATCCTGCTCAATATTGTCTACACTGACTGGCAGCGGCTCTTCAGGGTTTCAGGCAGGGTTCTCTCCCAGTCCTATCTTCTGCATGGACCCCCTGCATGCAAAGCATGTGCTCTAATTCTATAAGCTTTATAGCAGGCACCCTTCGTCCCTCCAGATGTAGTCCAGGACTACAGTTCCCATCATCCCTGACTACTGGTCCTGTTAGCCAGGGATCATGGGAGTTGTAGGCCAAAATATCTGGAGGGGATGCAGGTTGGGGATGCCTGCTTCATAGTGATGAATAAATGCAATTAGTAATAGAGCATTTTGATTTTCTCTTGTAGGTCAAACCTTTGAAGCTTTTTAACCTTCTCTTAATCTTTCAGAAATATCAATCCGAAAACTTTGCCTGTGGAACGCATCCTGCCAGCTCTGTCGAAGGACAAAGAGGAGGAAATCCGAAAGATCTTGCGCACCAACTTGCAAAAGACCAGACAGAGGGTAAGAAAGAGGACCCCGTTAGCATCTTTGGTCTGGAAAACTGTGGTAGGTCAGAGCTATTTCCAGTGCACCTTCTTCCAGGGGCCCCCACTCACCATCCCTCCGATTCTCGCAGTCCATCAAAAATATATACAGGCCGGACCTGCATTTACAGCCAGCTGGCAACCCAAGCAAACTGACGAAGCAAACAAATAATTGCTTTGTTACTTGGCCAGGCACATTGATGAATGTGATAAATCTGCAGCTTGGTTCAACAATTTGACGTAATAAACGAGGCCTCAGGCAATAAATGAACATTGCTTTGAGGGTAGAAAGGCCTTTGTCTGGCCCAAAGGAAGGGGCAGCAAATTGACCAGTCTGCTAAAAGATGGGCAGTGATGGGACTGCAAGCTGAGGATGGAACCTGTAGTCATCAGGCAGATGAGCATGTGTGCCTGGAGCAATAATACACTCGACGGGGGGGGGGGAGCGGTAAGGCTTGCACAGCAGAAACAGATGCCATGTGGGGCTCCTGATCTGTTCAGCTCCAGGGGCCTAGCAGAAATGAGCAGTGAGGAGGGGCCTCTTTGGGGACACACCTGTTGCATCTTCCTGTGCACACCTATGCCCAACCTTATGATGGTAGACAAGGCATTTGAGAAAGGGGGAAGTCTGAAGGAACAGCTGCTGCCACCTGTCTGCTAAGAGGGGCATTGCAAAGCCTTCAGCATGTTGGGGCTGCAAGAGAAGATACATGTTCACTCTTGCAAGTGAGATGTCAGCACCCCCAGATTTTGTGGGCAAAGAGGATCCCAGATCATCGACATCTGAAGCCAAGGGGATGATCCTATTCAAACAAAACAATAGTGATTCAAACAGTGGGGAATTGTCGAAATCAAAGTTGGGGAACCCCTATGCGTTAACAACAATGGCTAAACAAAAGATTATTTTCTCTGTATAGTAAAAACAATCAGTAATTTGAATGAATGAAAGCAAAACAAAAATTTGTTCAGCCATTTTATTCGTTTTTAGTTGCTTTGCGTTGGTGTCATTGTCTTGCATTGAAGAGATGGGCTAGAGCTCTATCTACACTTTGCGAAAAAGTCACAAATTGGGGGAAGAGAGAAAGCTGTGAAACTGGCACAGTGGGGAAACTCTCTTTAGTTAATATAATCATTAAGTTATTATGTTTGTCCACTTTTTCCCAGTTGCCTATAACTCTGGGACCCTTTTGTCTGACCCCCTGCCTGAAATTCTTCAGGCTTGTTGGCTGAATATCTGCAGATTTTATACGGTTTGGATGGAAAACACTAATGTTACAGCAACAGAAATCTAGCTGGGTTTTCCATTGCAATCGATTGGGAGACAGACACATTTTTTACTGAGCAAGTCATGGTCAAAGAGCTCGTTTCTCATAATCCCAGAGGAAGAGTGGCTTAGCTCAAAACTTGCTGGAATTTGGGCACCTCTGGTTAAAGTCGATAGCCTCTGTTTGAATCACTGTTGTCGTTTTACAGGTACTAGTTGTATTTCCCACCCCACACATCTGCCGTAGAAACCACACTGTCTTCACACAAATGGCAGCCGGGAGGGTGGGGTGGGGGCTCTCTCTGTGTGTATATGTAACCTCTTTTGAGTTCTGTTCTAGTTGCGGTCATATAATCGACACACCTTGGTGGCCGACCCTTATGAAGAAGCCTGGAACCAGATGTTGCTGAGGAGGCAGAAGGCTCGACAGCTGGAACAGAAGGTACCATGGATGGAAGGAAGGCTGTAATGGTGGAGAGTTTGGGGTGGAGGTTCAAAGTGTGAGTTTCTCTTTCAGTGGCTTCCAAATACCAGTTGTTGGAAACCAAAGGAGGGGGAGAATCCTGTTCTCAAGGGTTTCCCAGGGGCATCTGTTTGGCCACTGTGAGAACAGAATCCTGGACTAGATGGGCCACTGGTCTGATCCAGCAGGTTCTTCTTAAGTTCATCTTGAAGAGAGGAAGATAAGAGGGGAGACGTCATTGGAGTCTCTGAGGTGAAGAGCCCTTTAATTAACGGCTGCTGTGTTTCTGATTCCAGATAAACAACTACCTGACGGTGCCGACACACAAAATCGATTCGCCCACCATGTCAAGGGCGCGCATTGGCTCAGGTGAGGGGAGGAGGCTGTGGCAACTTCTGGAAATTAGAAATCTGCAACCGGGGCATGGTGGACCATTTGGGAAGAAAATTTCAAGGCACTGCTGCTGTGTTAGCATTTAGTTACCCCACTAACTTCATGCCCCACAAGTTTCGCTTTAATGGCCCTGCTTGCAGGCTGCCCATAGCACACGGTGAGAACAAGATGCTGGACTAGATGGTGTGTGGCCTGATCCAGTATGACTGTTCTTATGGTGCAACCATCTGCAGGAGGCACCAAAGGAACTCTGGTGTGTGTGTTTAATGCAGGGTTGGAGAACCTGTGGAACTTCACAGGTTGTCAGAGTACACATCCCATTATCCCAGACCATTGGCCATGCTGGCTTAGGCTGGTGGAAGTTGGAGCCTGACACCAAGGGGAGGCCACAGGTTCCCCATCCCAGGCTAAATGCATTTTGGAGCAAAGGGAGGCTGCTACCTTTGGGAACAAAGCAATTTGTATTTTGCAGAGAGAGGGAGAGAAAGCTGAGGATCTTGGAATGCGGAATTCTGCACTGAGCGTTGGATTCTTTCCTTGTGAGAGGCTTGCAGAGCAGACACGGTCCCAGCAGCTGCTCACCCACTTAGGGTGGAGCTGCAGCAATAGCCTCTCGCAAGTGGTGTCACTACTGCTTTGGGATCCAGAAATTCCCAGGTTCAATCCCTGGCATCTCCAGGTGGAGCTAGGAAAGACTCCTCCCGAAGAGCTGCTGCCTTTCAGAGCAGGCAGTATTGAGCGAAATACACCAATATTCCGACATGGTATAAGGCAGCCTCCTAGGTTCCGGTGCCATAGGGCTCCAAGGTGGCTGAAGATCTTCCAAAAGATGCAGAGTGGCACATGCTGCCAGTAGGCAGGAGGAGCAGGGAAAGGGATGCGCCGAGCGATGGAGAGCAGAGAGAGCCAGCAGACTCTTTGAGGGTGAAGGGAAAAATCTTCAGGGTCCCTAGCCCCAGTTGGATCTGGGTGAATGTTTTCTCCTGATCCTCCCTCTGCTAGACCCTGAGATCAAAGGAGAACCTGCCCACCAGGTCTCCGCAAGAGGTACCTAACGGATCTCTGCGAAGGATTGATCTCCTCTCTTGTGCCTTTCTTCTTTCTTTATCAGACCCCTGCCTATAAATAGGACTGGTGCTTCTCCTCCACAGCAGGTAACGGAACCAAACCCAGCCATCCCTGCTGTGATCTATACAAGCCTGTCTCCCCCCCCCCCCCCGAACCCAAGAATGAAACCCAGCAGTTTCCTCTACTTGGTTGGACCCCCCATTCTTACCTCTCTGCCCCTGTCACCCATCACTTCGTGGACACTGTGAAGTTGTTTGTCCTCCTGTATTAGTCATGTTCTCCAACTCCCTGGCGGTGTCCTGAGAGACTCAACAGTCTGCATTTCAGAGAACTGCCAGGGTTGCACAAAAAATGAATGTAAATGCTCCAGGGGGCTACTGTGCTCATGCCCTACTTCTTGGCTTCCCACAGACATCTGGTTGGCTACTGTAAGTACCAAATGCTGGACTAGATGGGTCTTGGGGCTCATCATAGATCACAGCAGGACTCTTCTTATGTTCCAGCTTTACCCATCCACAAAGTGGCGATTGCCGCTCTTGATTGACTTGGTTGCTGCTCCAGCCTTGGCTCTTAACTGGCTTCGTTTAGGAATAGAGTGTAAAATATAGGGACATTTTGTAGTCTTGCGGGGGCATATTTTTGACAGTGAAGAAATACCTGAAAACTTTTTTGGAGGGGGGGATTTAAATACATGCAATACTTTCTTATCAAACCTCAATTATTTTCCTACTTTAACAGGCTGAGATGTGGCATTTATAACTTAGCATGTAATATTTGGCATATTTATTAAATTTACAGACCAATCCTTTACGTGTTAACCCAAAAGTAAGATGCACTCTTTAGAGGTGCTTTCATCCCAAAAAACCACACACAGGGTTGCAGCCCCCAAAGTGTGCATACTTTGAATATACATGTCACAGTCATTTGAAGGGAGATATGAAAATGTGCTGGTCAAGGGAGGTGCCAGTCAAAAGGACAGCAGATTTGGGATACTTGCTTCTAGTATATCTAAGCTTAAAACAGATCGCCGGAAGAAACCAAGCAGCAATTCACAAGCAACGAAGGCACTCCTAGATGCAGAAATTTATCTTGGATTTGAGTGTTGTATATGCTTATGGTGTACATATGAATTATTGTTCTCTAATGCTGTTGATTGAGGGGACATGAACATATTCATACTACACATTTTAAGTGAGTAAAACCTTGTATTAAAAAGTCTTTTTTCCAAAGGACAAAATATTGAATAGGAGTTTTTTCAGTGTTCCTCCAAATTTTCCTGGTACATAGAAGGGTTAGATATTCAATCAAACATACAGGGGAGAAAACTCCCTCAGAATTACATAGCCAATCACAATAAGTGCTACCTCAGCAAAGACCATCCCACTCTGATTGCATGCTAAGCAACAGCTCCAGCCCCTCTTGGTTAGCTGGCTTCTTGGCAACACAATTAACCCTTAAGTTACAACAGAATGATCCCTGCTGTTGACCTCCATTATGATCTTTCCTTTCCCTCTCCAGACCCTCTAGCTTATGACCCCAAGCCGGACTCCGAGAACCTCCCTATCATCACCATCGACCCTGCGTCCCCGCAGTCTCCAGAATCTGTTGACTTGGTGAACGAGGCACTGAAGGGAATGAGCCGCCTCCCACCATCCCCAGAGGAAGACGAGGATGAGCAGGGGCTGGTAATGCGGGCCAAAGAACCTTCCTCTCCAGGCACAGATGACGTCTTCACCCCTGGAACTGGCGACAGCCCCAGTAACCAGCGGATAATGCGATGCTTGAGTGACCCTGGGCCTAGGCCCGATCCTGACGAGGGGGAACCCTTCATCCCCAAAGGCCAGTGAGCTCCTCCCCATGCACTTCTAGACCTGACCAGTAGGGGGAGCTTCCTGCAAACACACACATACCTTGGGCTTTTCTCAGTTGCTTTCTCTTCTCCCTCTCTCTCTCCCTCTCCCTCTCTCTCTCTTTGTGCTCTTCATTTTGGAAGCTTTACTAGGAGGTGAGAAATAATAACCGAAATGGAATGCACATCTTATGCCAGCTTGGCTGTTTTGCTAAGGAAAGTGGCAGGCATAGTGGGTGACCAAAATCCCTTGTCCTGAAAAATGCCAGAGCCCTGCTCACCCCCTTTTCCGCATTCAGAGGAGCATCCCTTCCTCTGGGATGGGTAGGGTGGCATGCTTTGCCCCACTGCTACCTTTCCCCTTAGCGCCAAGAGACTGCTTCCGTTTAGGCACCTAAAGCCTCTTGTTCATTTGCACTTTAGAGAGCCCTCTCTTTTCTCCTTCTTGCTTTGTTGCTGCTCTGATTTTCCTTTCCAAACACACTGGAGAAGACGAGGAAGTGCATCTTGTATCAGGTATAGCACAGTCTGGGGCGGGGTGGCGTGTTGCGTCACCCCAAGCCGGTCCCCGGCATTCCTGTGGGCCAGTGGTGAAGCTGGAACTCTGTGGGATTTGAGTATGGCTTTAAATCACCAGCTGCACTTCTCTTCATTTTTTCCTGTATATTTTGCTTGTTGTCTTCTAGAGATGGCGTTGGCAGTAGCTTCTCCGCTAAAGAGGGCTCTTGAAAGAAAACACTGAGCCAGGCATGCTTTAAACCAGGCGTGATTTTTAAAATTTTATTTTAGAGCACTGCTGGCTTGGAAGGAGCGTGGCATTTTTCTGACACCAGTTTTCTGCACCAGGTGGTTGGTTGGGTTAACAAAGCATTCCAATCCTATAGAGTTTGTGGATTTCTTTTTAAATCCCATGAAGCCATAAGAAAATTATTCTAGCCTTTTGGAAGTTCCAAATTTCAGAGTCACCTGGTTTCTTTTTGTTTCACAAGTCTGTTAAGTGTAACTAAGCTGTTTGCTCCTAGAACCTGAGCGGTAAGTGTGCTCCAACACCAGGGACTGATTGTGATCACCTGTCTAAAATTCTCCAGCGTACCTTCCCCTCTTTTCCTGGAGTTACCCACTTTCTCATCTTATAATCCAAATTACCTTTTAAAAAACACACACAAAGAGCATTTTGTTGACCAAAGACGAATACATGGCTGTACATATATAATTGCTGGTTTATTTTAACCTTAAAAAAACAATGGCACAGGGTATCTGTTTCTTTAAAAGGCGACAAATTATTCTACAAAGGGCACTTAGGGTGCCTGCGCAGAGGGCTGTTCCACTTGTCCTTTGCCAACCTGGTGCCTTGCAGATGCTTTGGGTATGCAGTTTCCCATCAGCCACAACCAATGCAGGCTGGAGCTGATGGGAGCTGTAGTCCAAAATGTCTAGAAGATACCAGATTGGCAAAGGCTGCTTCTGTGAAAAGCTTTAATAGCCTTTTTTTTCCTGCCTATAAACTTGAGAGCATGAACTCTAATAGGTAGCTGGGTTTGGGCGTTACCTTTTAGCAATATCAGCTGCAGAGGAGCCAGCTGCTTCTCCTTCCAGAGAGAACTATCTCAACAGGGGCATCCTTTAACTGGTTTATGGCCCATCGCCCTCTGGCGAGCTCCTCTCAGTTCTGCTTTCCCTCACCTGCCTGCTAGACTCTGCTCTCCCTCCGGCCTTCACTCTGCAGTGGGCATCCTCCTCCGATAGATGGTGCTAGGCCAGATGTTCCCAACTTGGTGCCCTCCGTATGTTTTGGACTACAACTTTTATCACTCCTGACCATTGGCCATGCTGGCTGGGGCTGATGGGAGTTGGAGTCCGCCATTTTGGAGGGCACCCACATTGGCTACCCCAGAGCTGCTCCCAGTGCCTCTTTCAGTTACCTTACTTCTGGTTTCCAAAAATCTAGCCCCTCATTATCCTAGCCTATAAAACTCATGTCTCAATTCTTGACCACCAAATTATGTATTACGATGGAGCGCCACAACTATTCTACAACCGGGAATAAATCCAACCTTGCAAATAATAGCAAGGCTTTCGTGTCTGGAAGTTCCAGGAAATCCCGTCCATCCCCCAGGTGGGGGTTCACGAAGACAAAGTGTTGCCTACAGAGCAAGTAAATCACATGGCTGAGACGGTGCCTCTTCAAAGCGGCAGGTGGCGTAAGGGGCATGATTGAATGTTCTCACATGAGAAGGGGGGCGGAATCTGAATGTGGGTTATAATTTTTGCTCTGACATGGTTGTTTCCAATATGCTGGGTATTTATAGATAGGTGGGTATATGGGAGTCTTTCAGCTGCACCCCTGCCCTGCATTCTCAAATGACGAGCTTCATCCAAGAGTGGTCTGCTCCCTTCGTAGAGTTGGCCCTTAGCCAAAGATGGCTTTCCTGTGAAGGCATTGCAGGGATTCCCCATTGCTTACCCCCAAAGAAAAAGAAAGGAATTCAGAAAGGGGACATAGAACTCTCTTGCTCAGTGAGGTTGATTTCCGCTCTATAGCAGGGGGTTTGGGACCCTATGGCCCTCCAAAGGTTGCTTGACTACAACTCCCATCAACATCTGCCAACATGCCCAACAGCCTGGGATGATGGGGATTGTAGTCTAATATCTGGAGGACAAGAGGCCAGCCCTTCCCAACCTGGCACCCTCCAGATATTTGTGTCTTCATCTCCCACAGGGCTTGTGGGATCTCTGGTGGGTTTGGGGGCTGGGGGCAATCCTGTGTTTTAGGTTACTGCCCTGCACTGAAGTAATCTATATCTGCCCAGTCTGAGCTGGTTGTGTTTTGTTTCCCCCCCTTTTCTGAGGATGGGTGTGTTGGTGGTGGTGATAAGACTAAGGTAGAGAGTAGAATGAGTTTCTGCACTTTAGACACCAGTTCTGGATATTGCAATTCTGTTATCGAAGCTTCTTTCAAGAAGTGTGCCCTTTACAGAGCCATGCTGGTGCCTGCTGTTCCCCCCCTTCCAGTAGTTCTTAGTTCCTCACCCCCATCCCACCCCATCCTGAAGGGGGCATTTTAATTTTCTGCCCCCTGTGCTGTGCCTTTTTAGCCATACAGTGTCTGCCTGCGCAAAAATAAAATAAAAATGGTGTTGTGATTTGCCGCTCGCTCTGTCTGGTCCCTCCCAGCTCCAGCCGGGACGGCTAGACTAGGCCTGTTAATAGCTCTCTGTGCAAACCTGTCCATCTTTTCTCCCACCCAAATAGCAACACCCTCTCCTTCCTCCAGCATGCTCCCCCCACAACAAACACACAAGAGGGGAAGAGCTGCAAGCGGCACAGGTAAGAGGGGGGAAGAGCGGCAGAAGGGGGCTCATCCGTCTCGCCCCCACTCCCACCACACGGCTCTGTGTACTCTCGACCTAACCTGGGCCTTGCCATAGCGCTCTGCTTCAGGCTGAGCAGAGATCAGTAGACCGCAGTAGCCTGTATGTGCTTTCATGTACAAATGTTCTCTCTCCAGCGGGAGCTGATAAAGCAATGAAAAAAACAACTATTGTATAAAAAAAAGAAGTGTAAAGAGAGTCTTTTTACATAAATATTCTAATAAATGAATGTTTAAATTTTTAGTGGCCTGTACTGATTCCTCCCTACCACTATCTTATGTGCTCTCTGTTTTGTTTTTTAAACATCACACACACACACACACACACACACACACACACACACGATGCTGGGAAAGGTTAGCTATTTTTTGATGATTTTTTGGAGACTTGGAGCACATCATCACCATACATTTAAAGCACTCTTAGGCCACTTTTAACAGTCATTAACTTTTAACCTCCAAATAATCCTGAGAACTGCAGTTTGTTGGGGTGCTAGGAGTTGTTGGCAGACCCCTGTTCCCCACACTGAACTATAATTCCCATAGCCCCCTAGAAAGAGGGGTCGATTGTTAAACCTCGTTGGGAACTGTCGCTTTGTGAGAGGAACAGAGGTCTCCTAACAACTCTCAGCATGCTTAACCGCTGACATCTCCCATGATTCTTTGGGGGAAAGCCATGGCTGTTTAAAGTAGCGTAATAGTGCTTTATAAGGGACGCGGGTGGCGTTGTGGGTAAAAGCCTCAGCGCCTAGGACTTGCCGATCGAAAGGTCGGCGGTTCGAATCCCCGCGGCGGGGTGCGCTCCCGTCGCTCCGTCCCAGCGCCTGCCAACCTAGCAGTTCGAAAGCACCCCCGGGTGCAAGTAGATAAATGGGGACCGCTTACTGGCGGGAAGGTAAACGGTGTTCCGTGTGCTGCGCTGGCTCGCCAGATGCAGCTTGTCACGCTGGCCACGTGACCCGGAAGTGTCTGTAGACAGCGCTGGCTCCCGGCCTCTTGAGTGAGATGAGCGCACAACCCTAGAGTCTGTCAAGACTGGCCTGTACGGGCAGGGATACCTTTACCTTTACCTTTTAATAGTGCTTTAAATGGGGGCAGAAACTCTCTCTTTACTCTGAAAAGGTTGATCCATGAAGGAGAGGGTCACTTGTGCTGTTTGGCCACTGGGCACCGACCTTCGCATGTTGCACCAAAGTGAGAATGGCCCCCTGGGAGCAGAGCTTGGCAGGAGCAGGGAGGCAATGAAGGGAAAGGCAAATTAGCAAGAGCGGTAGGGCTTGGGTGCTTCCAACAGCCACGTCGCTGTCCAAAGAAAAGGTAGGAAGGAATGGGAGAGGGGGGAAGAAGAGATAACAACAACAACAACAACAACAACAACAACAACTTTTTATTTATACCCCGCCCTTCCCGGTTCAGAAAACTGGGCTCAGGGCGGCTAACAACAAATTTAAAACACTTAATTGTGATACAACAAACAAAACAGCATAAAATACAGTATAAAAGCGTGAATAACAAATTCAAAGTTCAAAAATCAATTTAGGGGGAAATCCATCCAATAAACATTAGATGATCACCAGGGCTAGCTAGCTAAATTAGTCCTATTTGGGCCAGCGAGGAGGCCAGGGGAGAATTAGCTGGTAACCTTCATAAAAAGGGGAGGGGGAGGGAAGGAAGGAAGGGGAATAAAAGATCAGGCTAAATTCAAATTGAAAGCCAGGCAGAATAGATGGTGGTGGTGATGCAAGTGAAAGAGAAGTCCCACCTGCATTGTCATGCCACCTCGATCAGCGATGGCTTCTCCTCAAAAATCCTGGGAACTGTAGATTTGTTAACCATGTAGCTGCAACACGCTTAGGGAAAGTGCCACAAATCACTGGACCACTAGGGGGCAACCTTCCTCCAAATGTTACCCCAGCAAGTGATATTTAAGGAGAGTGTTGCAAAAGGCCCAGCATCCTGTTTTCCATAGGGGCCAACCAGATACCTATGGGAAGCCCATAAGCAACAGCACCTTTCTCACTGCTGTTCCCCAGTAACTGATAATTCTGAGGCATTTGACCCTGCAAGTTACATGTACTCGCTTTGCCTAGTAGTCATTGGTAGCCCTGTGCTCCATGATTTTGTCTAGTGGTAGTGTAGACAATCCATCTTTAGCTCTTTGTTTCTGGTATATGAGATGACTGCAATTTCCATACATTCAGAATATAAGAAGTGATCAGTAAAGCTCCATTTCTTGCTCAATACATTAAGCTTTCCCAGGAAAATAAGCTAAACAGGTTGAGGCACTTCTGGATGAAATTAATGATCTGGATCCATTTCAGACTGGTTGCAGGCCAAGTTTCGGGACCAAGAATGCTTTGGTTGGCCCTGGCAAAGGAACTATGCCAGGGGAGGGGGCAAGCTGTGTTGGCACGCCCAACTCTCAATGCCTTTCGCTAGCATCAACTGGTATCCTTGTGGAGCATGACTCGGGGATTAAAGAAACAGGCTGTAGTGCCCCGGACTGCTTCTAACTTTGCCAGGTTATTCCATAAAATGGTTGTGCGATATTAATCTTCTGTTTGGAAGTGTGTGTTTTGACGGAGTAGCTCAGGAAGCAGAAGGTGGAAGGGAAGCAGTGGCTGAGACTGGAAAAGCATAAGGCAATTCTCAAAATTGCTGGGAAATTCTGGGTTCTTCTTAAAATAAGAATTCATGCAGTGTATAGATATCTGAACAATGCATTGATGTTCGATCTAAAGTGGTGAAATGCCAGATTGTGTTGGCTCTGCCTTTGCTCTTCCTTCAGAAACGAGAGCAAATTACTACAGAAAAACGATGGCTCCTGAACAACATTTCCCCCCACCTAATGCTCTAGATGTAGCATTTGCGGGTGCTGGTCACAATTTCCACAAACACACTCAACACATTGCCCCCGTCCAGCCTTCGCTAACATGGTTGTGCAGCCCAGATATGGTTGGACTACAACTTCCATCATCCTTAACTATTGGCTGTGCTGACTGGGGCTGATGGGCTCAATAGTCCAAAACATCTGGAGGACACCATGTTGGGAAAGGCATTGTGGGAGAAAAAAGAGCTCTGCTGATTTTTCTGTTGTCAGTATTACTGCTATTTTTATTATTACTTCAGCCTAAGATCACAGGGAGGGTCTGATGCTGAATTTTATTTACCCCACTAAATCTCATATTTATTTGTGGTTGTGTTTTGTTTTGTTTTTTAAAAAAAACCAACAGTAATGGAAGATCCTCTGTAACATCAATGTTATGTGTTCTAAGGGTAAAATGAAAATATGAGGTCCAGACAGTCCATATTTGTGGCTGAGACAGTGGAAATCTCCATCTCTCAGGCAGAAAGAAGTTTGCAAACCATAGAAATGACAAAATATTACAGAACAAAAATCACAATCCTATAACACTTCAGTTCAATGAAAAGAAGCTGTTTTAAAAAAAAATGTAGCTAGAAACAAAAAGAAAATTAACATTTAATGAAATGGGGAAGGAGGAAAGTGAAATGAAAAGAAGTGGTCTATGGCCTCTTTCTGATCCTGTGTGAGAGAGCTCACGGGTCCTGTTCATTATTCCCATGTGCTCCCCATTCTGAGATCTGTTGTGACAACCTGAATCTGCCTTGTCCTCAAACCTGTGTTTAGGGCTGACTTTGCTGCTGTCAGCAGATGACTCACCAGTGCAGAGTGCTGTTCAGGCCTTTCCAGGTTGCTGTTCAAGGGCTAAAGAACAGCTACAGACAGCAGCACGTGAAAGCCAGTTCAAATATTAAGGAAAAACACACACCACAGTTGCCCTGGGACAGCACCACTTAGCAACGCCGGCTGGCAATTGTTTTGAATGCTTCTCTTATCTTGGAAGTGCCTTGCATGTGGAAAGCTAGCGTGTCAAGAAGAAAGGTTGTGGGGAATTGAGATGTGCTAAGTTTCTACATGCAGGGAGTTTTCGTGTAAGGGGCTATTAAAATTTGACATCCCTTCCTGCCAGGCCCAGCATTAGCATTATCCTAGGCTACAATGATGAGGCATTGATTATTTCTCAGCGCAGTGCCCTCTGGTTAAGGGTAAGGACCCCTGACCATTAGGTCCAGTCGTGGACGACTCTGGGGTTGCAGTGCTCATCTTGCTTTACTGGCCGAGGGAGCCGGAGTACAGCTTCCGGGTCATGTGGCCAGCATGACTGAGCCGCTTCTGGCGAACCAGAGCAGCGCCTGGAAACGCCGTTTACCTTCCCGCCGGAGCGGTACCTATTTATCTACTTGCACTTTGATGTGCTTTTGAACTGCTAGGTTGGCAGGAGCAGGGACAGAGCAACGGGAGCTCACCCCGTCACAGGGATTCGAACCGCCAACCTTCTGATCAGCAAGTCCTAGGCTCTGTGGTTAGACCCCTCAATAAACCTACCTAGTGGGAGCAGGAAACAGTGTCTGTGTCTGGGAGCTGCCATCATTTATCAGGGAGTTGTGGGACTGGGGCAGGGCTGGCGCTACCGTTAAACAGAAAGAGGCAGCTGCCTCAGGTGGTAGATGCTGAAGGATGTGGTACAGAGAGAGCTGTGTGTAGGGAGAGCTGTCTGAGAGATTCAGTCCAGTTCACAATCCCTTTATGAAACAATGTGAAAACTAAAAGAGAGCCATCCTTTGTTATTCACACTTCTCCAAATTTAGCAATGCAGTTCTGCAGCAAAGAAACATGTAGAAGAATGCACGCACCTGTTTAGAATGTGCATATATTGGTGAAAATAACATACAAAAATGCACTATACACATACAGTGGTACCTTGGTTCAGGAGTCCGTTCAAATCCGAAACCATTCGAAAACCAAAGGCCGGCTTCTGATTGGCTGTAGGAGCTTCCTGCACTCAATCAGAAGTTGCACTGGATGTTCGGCTTCCGGAAAACGTTCACAAACCAGAACACTTCCGGGTTTGCGGTGTTTGGGAGCCAAGCCATTCGTGTACCAAAGTACCACTGTATTGTGGAAGATGGCACACAAAAATGTGTACATGAGAAGAAATTTGCACTAAGCTACTGATGAATTTTCCTTGAGGGCTTTATAGAAAACATGCACAAACTAACATGAAGAACTTAACTTATAACTGAAATAAGTGAAATTGACAGATTAGCTCATCCTGAATGGTGGCGTAAGCTTTCATATACTACAATCTATATTGTTATGTTCATGATGTGTTATATAGATGTTGCCAGGAGGGGAGGATTGTAAACAGTGAGGACAGAGGA